CTTCAGTCAAGAGTGAGTTAGGAGAGTTGGTGATCTCTTGGACAAATCACCGAAGGTGCCAAGATAGGTTCATCACGAGYAGGAAGGAACAAGGGAAAACAGGAGGTTTTCCCCGTGGACCGACCCGTGACGAGATCCTATTCCCGGGCCCTCAACAGAGTGTCCCTAGGAGCATTATGTTTCAAATATATAGGAGTGGAGGCAGGCTTAACACCAAGTTTCCCAGTTTGAACCAGCAAATCAAACACATATTTTTGCTGAGAAATAAAGATACCATCCTTAGATGGGCAACTTCAATTTCCAAGAAATACCGCAGCTCACCCAAGTCCTTTATTGCAAATTTTGTATTATGAAAATGCTTGTGTTTTCCAATTTCTTGCACATCATCAACAGTAACTACAATATCATCAATATAAATAATAAGTATGGTCTCCAAACCATCTTTCCTCTTCACAAAGAGGGTATGATTTGATTTGGTCTGAACATAACCAAATATAATAAAGCCATTATGAAATTTCTCAAACCAAACTTGAGGTGATTGCTTGTGCCCATAAGCAAAATGACTACCACTATGCAAAACAATCCTACTTTCAACTGGATCAGCAACGACCAGCAACAACAAATGCTCACTGTATAAACTAGCAAGGCTTCTCCTACTTCATGTGAAACAGGTGATTGAAACTCCATAAAGAAAAAGAAGGCACAAGACTATAATATCACCATAAAAGAATAAATGCTACAGTAGAGGCATATTAACTGTTCTAAGACAGTGACACGAATTTAAAAGAATGACAAAATACAACAAATGAGGAAAAGAAGAGAAGACAGGTTTTAATGAGTTTTTGCATGATTGTGCACATCCATGGTGGAGAGAGAAAACGATATTTAGTATGGAGACGTATACAGGAGGAGACAACACCGTTCTCCCTTGTACACCCTAGCTTATGGTTCTACATCTTCACAACAAGACTATTGGCTTAAATAAGATCATATCTGAAGGTTTGAAAGGGAATCCTATTCTAAACACCTGACCTCCCTGAAAGTGTGTGCTTTCCAATCCTTTTCTCATTACCTGAATGTAGACACATTTATTTACAACACCAAACACCAATTAACATTCATCAAATAAAGAAAAAAAATTAGTCATACCATTTGTAAGTTTGCAAATCACAAATCAGATTTTTTCAAATGTGTATCCCTTTATGAGAAGAGAATAACTTCACCACCTACAACACCACAATATCCCACCATTATGGTTGCTGGAAAAGGCAACAAGAAATTTAGAGAAGAAAGGGTTTAGATCCCTTTAGAACCCTAGACCAATTCCCTTGGGAAATGAAAAAACACTGATTTGTGGGGGGCTACAAAAATCATAAAGAATCATGTACAGATCTGATTTCTTTATGGAGCTGATACTATGACTTGATACCTACAAAAGAAGAATCAAAGAGCACAGAAAAGAGAAGAAAAGAAAAGCAAAATGGGAGGAAAAATGGCCACATACAACAGCTGACCCATTAAAAATATAAAACAGCAAATGATATCAACTAAACTACCTCCATACAGGTTACATAACTTCTGGCCCATAAATCAACCTAAACATCCACTATTCAAATGAGATATATACCCTTTAAATATTGTTTCTTTCTAGCAAGGTTTTATGTTCAAGTATCATTATTCCTTCCAGGAATTTTTTTGACTGGTTGTATTTCTTCTTTTGTGGGTTGGTCATGGTTAATTTCCATTTCTTTCTGTTAATGCCTGTTTGACATTACTTGAATGCAGAATAAATATGTCTGATGATGACATTTCGTATTGGGAGAATACTGGAATTAATCCCACACTTAGCATAAACAGTATGCGTGATGTGGTACGAATCTTTGTAAATGGCCAGCATGCAGGTAATTGGAAGGAACATTATGCAGTGCAATAAAGATATGAATACACATTCAATGGTAGTGATGGGAATGCAATAAAAATGATTATACATACAAAAGTCACTTTTTGTTTCTATGGTTGGTTTGCAAGTTGCATGGACATTGACATGGGAGTAAGAATCTGTTGCATGTCCAAGAAACAAATGTGGTGGCTATGTACAGTGCTGAAGCTTGGTACAGAGCAATGCCCCACAGAGTGGCTGAGAATATGTAGATAAAAAATTTGTTGGGTGAGCTGGTGTTTGCAGTTGATAGTCCCATGTCCCTTTATCAGGGAGAAGCTTGTTAGTGGGGAAGTGTGCACTCCCTATGTCAATTCAGAAGAGTAGCTTGTGGATATCTTCATAATAGGTCTACATCACTTGCAGCACAATGACTTTATGTGACAAGTTGGGAATGATTGACATCTATGTCTCAACTTGAGGGAGAGTGTTAAAGCTGTCAATAGTTTGCAATGTAGTGCTGTAGAACATTTTTGTCCTTTTACCTTTTTTTTTTTGATCAATAACACTTTCATTAATTCATCAGTAGAAAATTTACAAGTGGAAGACAAACACACTTATCTTCCAAGAGTCACAAAGAACTTCAAGAAAGGAAAGAAGAAAATACAAAGATACAAGGACACTAACATTACA